ATAACTTCATTTTTTTCAGCAGAGAAAATTAAAGCAAGAAGAGCCTGGGATGATGCATGCCATGACCTAAAGACGAAGGATGAACCACGAATAGTGTAAACAGCTAAATTCTCCTTCATAACCAAAGGTGAAATAAAAACCTTCCATAGCAAAGAAAAACTGAAAAAAAAATATCTCCACCAAACTGGTCCTACAAAAGATACTTAAAGATGTCCTACACAGACAGAACTGACAATACCACAATAAAGGCAAAGAAACGGCATCCAAACTGAGAATCCAAAAACCATAGGAAGAACCAAGTTGCCACAGCACCCAAGAAGGTGGATAAAATGGCAGAAACTTCCAAACACTTCTCAGTCCTTTCTCTCAACATTAACGGACTTAACTCTCCAATTAAGCGACAGACACTGTCTAGATGGATTAAAAAGCAACATCCTTTTATCTCCTGCCTTCAGGAATCACACCTTGCTCATAAAAACAAACACACTTTGAACGTGAAAGTCTGGAACAAAATCTACCAAGCAAATGGCCCCCATAAACAGACAGGAATTGCAGTCGTAATATCAGATAAAATAGACTTCAAATTAAAATTAGTGAGAAGAGATAAAGAAGGTCACTACATACGAATTAAGGGATCTTTCTTTCAGGAGGATATTACAATAATAAATACTATTCGCCAAACAATGGATCACGGAAATTTATCCAACAAATACTACTTTCCCCAAAATCTCAAATTGATCCAAAGATAAGAATTGTTGGGGGCTTTAACAGACCACTATCCACATTAGATAGATCAACTCGAAAAAACTCAATAAAGAAAATGCAGATCTAAAGAACTACCTAGATCAGCTACATTTAACAGACAACTACTGAATATTTCACCCAGCAGCATCAGAATACACTTTTTTCTCATCACTACATGGAACATTTTCCAAAATAAACCACTTATTTTATTGTGAAAATACTGTACAGAGGGGTTGCAATTACATGGGCAAGACAATGAGTACATTTCTCATAAAGCATTGTAGCCTCCTCCTTTGTTTCCCCTTCCCATCCCATTCTCCCCCCGTCCCACCACCCAACCCTCAATCCCCCACCAAAGTTGTAAAGTTCGTTTTTGACATAATGACTTGTACATCTCGTTGCAATGGGTCCACCTGTATGCCTATTTAAATGATTTGTTTTTTCCCTTCCCCTCCACAAATGATAACAATATCAAATACAGTGAAAACAGGGGTTCTAAAGTTGTGCAGGCACATACAAAGCAACAAAGATATGATCTTATAATTGTTTTAGAAACAATTGCATGAAAGAAAAAAAAAACATTTGAATAAATATCTTAGGGTTCATTTCCCTAAAATCGACTTATCTGACCTTTTCGGCTTGATTCAGACTGATACTAGTTATTACAAATAGGGGAAGCTATGGGACCTATGTTTCTTTGGGCCTGTCTTACTTCACTTAATACAATTTTTCCCAAATCTTTCCATTTCCTAACAAATGGGGCAATGTCATTTTTTCTGATGGAGGCATAGAATTCCATTGTGTATATATACCACATTTTCTTGATCCATTCATCTACTGAGGGGCATCTGGGTGGGTTCCAGATCTTAGCTATGGTAAATAAGTCTGCAATAAACATAGTTGTGCTGGTAACTTTCTTATAGTTTTGCTTGTGAACATTTGGTTAAATGCCCCAAAGTGGGATTGCTGGATCATAGGGGAGCCCTATGTGGAGTCTTTTGAGGAAACTCCATACTACTTTCCAAAGTGGTTGTAAAAGTTTATACTCCCACCAACAATGTATTAAGGTTCCCTTCTGTCCACATGCCCTCCAGCATCTGTTGTTATTATAGTCCTTGATTCTAGCCATTCTGACTGGGGTGAAGTGGTATCTAAATGCTGTTTTGATTTGCATTTCTTTTATTGCTAGGGAGGTTGAGCATTTCTTCATGTATCTATTGGCCATCCTTCTTTCCTCTTCAAAGAAGTTTCTCTTTAAGTCTTTAGCCCACTTATTTATTGGGCAGTTTTTTCTTTGAAGGTTTGCTGTTGGGGGGTTTAATTTTTTGAGTTACAGGTATATTTTAGATATGAAACCCTTGTCTGTTGTATGGCTAGTGAAGACCATCTCCCAATCGGTGGGCTTTCTATTGATCTTGCTAGCTATGTCCTTTGCCATGCAGAAGCTATGCAATCCCATTTGTTCAACCCTTCTTAGATTTGTTGTGCTTCTGGGTCTCTATTAAGAAAATTTCAGCCTGTGTCTTTGGATCTATGTGGGATTTGAGCAAAAGTAGTGTTTCTTGGATAAATTTGGGAGCTCCATTTTTTGGCGAGTAGATATTTAGAATTGTAATATCCTCCTGAAGGAGAGATCTCTTAATGAGTATGTGGAGACCTTCTTAATCTTTTCTCTCTTATTTTAATTTGAAGTCTATTTTATCTGGTATTAGGATTGCAACTCCTGCCTGTTTATGGGGGCCATTTGCTTGGTAGATTTTGTTTCAACCTTTCACATTGAAAATGTGTGTTTTTACAGGCAAGATGTAACTCCTGAAAGAAGCAGATAGAAGGATGATGCTTTTTAATCCAAGTAGACAGTCTATGTCGTTTAATTGAAGAGTTAAGTCCGTTAATGTTGAGAGATACGACTGAGGTATTTGGGAGCTGCTGCCATTTTATCCACCTTCTTGTGGCTGCGGCAACTTGGTTCTTCCTATGGCTCTTGGATTCTCAGTTTGGGTACTGTTGCTTGACCTTTTTTTGTGATCTAGTTGCATATGAAGGAGAGTTTATCTGGGTACAGTATTCTTGGTTGATATTTGTTTGTCTTTAGGGCATGGCATACATCATTCTAGGCTCTTCTGGCATTGTTTCTTCTGAGGAATCTGAGGTGACTCTAATTGGTTTCCCTTTACCGCTGATTGAGCTTTTCTCCTTGACAGCTTTAAGGAACTTTTCTTTGGTCTGAATTGAACGTGTGTAGTTTATAATGTGATGGTGGTATGCCTTATCCTGGTCTCATCTATTTGGTGATCTAAAAGCTTCTTGTGTCTGAATAGACCTATCTTTTTGCATGTTTGGAAAGTTCTCTGCTAGAATCCTGTTAAACAAATTTCCTAGACCATTAACTTCTATCTCTACACCCATTAGCCTCAGATTAGGCCTTCTGATGGTGTCTTCCAATTGTTGAATAGCTTTATTATATTTCTTGGATTTGTCTTGGATGGTTGTATGTTCTTTCTCTATAATAACTAGGCTGACTTCAATCCCTGAAATTCGATCTTCAGGATGGTCTAACCTACTATCAAGTCTTTCTACTTTGTTTTTTATTTCTTTTCCTTCTAGTTGGTCGCCTTTGATGGCTTCAGATTCCTTGTTGGAGTTTTGTTTTAGATCTTGTATGGACTTCTTTACTTCCTTAATTTGGTGTTAGTATTTATTCACAAATCACTTAGTTGATTAGTTATGGTTTCCTAGGACTCCCATTCCTTCTGTTGGGTTACGTTCAGCATTTCTTTTTGTGGTCTCCCTGATTTGTTTGAGCTCTCTGTTTATGGATTCCTTGAATGCCTTTAGTGATCTTTCTGTATTCTCATCCCCCCACTCTCAATTCCTCTATTATTCTTTGATTAGCTTATTCATATTCACGCAGTTCCTGTAGTTCTCTTTGAGTGTTTTCAGCCTGCTCACGCCATTCATGACTTTCTCTTTGACTGATCCCAGCCTGCTCATGCAATTCCTTTATTTCTCTTTAAGTGTTCTCAAGCTACTCTCGCAATTCCTGTATCAAACTTTGAGTAGCTTCCTCACACTCATGATATTCTTTGTTTTGCCTCCTCTCTCTCCCTATCACGCTCATACAGAGTCCTTCACAGGTTTTCAATCTTTTCATTTACTATGTTTACCAGTAGTATTTGTAGACCTTTTTGGGAACACTTCTATGGATTATTCGTTATCTTTTTTGTCCCTGATTATTATGAGTGGGAGTTGAGATAACTGAACTTGCCATTTTTCTTGTGTTTTCCAGATTGCTCTACCCATTTGGGATGAAAATAAACCAGCTTTGTGCTAGCACACTATTTTAAGGCAAGCATCAACCAAAGTCAGTAGTTGCACAGTCAAAAGTCTGCAGATACAATATAATTCAATAGATATATCTATTCAACTTCAAACAACTAAGTATAATTGGGCTACGAACTGCAAAGAATAAGTTGGCAAACAGAAATTATTAGGTTTAGGGAGAGATGTGGTAAAAAATAGGCATAGAGTGATGTGGAAAGGCAGTGGGAGAGTTAACACAACAAATCCTAAACTCAAAACGGGAAATAGCTTGGATAGAATGATAGTAGAGAGAGAAAAAAAGAAGAAAGAGAAAGAAAAAAGACAAGAAAAAACAGGAAAACAAACATTAAAAATTAAGAAGTGCAACACTTAAAAATTATGCAAATTGAAGACATAATATTCAGAGAAGAATGTGGATAGAATAAGAGAACAGGAGGGATGGAAAGGAGATGTGGAAAACTTAAAAATAAAAATGCTAAAAATATTATATAGTTATTAAGAGGTAGTACTGCTATTAAGGAAGTTAAGTCTAAGCATCTTTAAACTGAGTAATAAATTTCTGGATTAAGTGTGTGCACAATGTGGCTAAAGTCAAATAATCAACTACGGGTATATATGAGGATGAGAACAGCAATTAAGTCATGCAAAGCATGAAAGAGAAGAAAACGTGAAAAGAACAAGAAGGAAAAAGAAAAGGATCAAATGGTCACTAGAGCTAAATAAAAAAAATTATTTTAAAAGATAAAAAGAGAGAGTTCTGGGAAGATGGCAGAGGAGAATCTGGAGGTAAAGCAATCATTCACATAGAAAGCAGTTTTAAAGTTCCAGTGAACAGTCCTCAGCCAGAGAATCACACCAAGTGTGTCATCACAGGACAGAGAGTTAGGACAGAGAGGGAAAATCCAGACAAGGAGACAGATCTGAGATCTTGCCAGCTGCTGCTGCTGCTGCAGTAGCAGCGGTGGTGGCGGTGGCCGAACTCGCCATACCTGAATCACAGAGAGTCTGGGACGAAGGATCCAGACACAGTGGGCAAGCGGATTCTACTCAACACCAGCAAGAACCAACAAGGAGTGGAATTCTTCCCCCTGCAGTTCGCAGACCAGAGACAACCCAGGAAGCAAGACTTGGCGTGAGTAGAACTCTGATGTCCTCACTCCTTCTCAGGGTGCAGAGGAGGGAAGGCCACCCTTCCCCCCCAGTACTGGAGATCTCCATCTTGGATAGCGACAAAGCTCAGCGGAGCTGCTAGCTCCAACTCAGGCCTTGGAAGAAAACTAGAGTCATTTAGCAGGTCACAAGAACCTAAGCTGAACTGCCAGACTCAGCTCCACCTAGGGAAAAGTCAGAATGCTTGGGAGCCAGCCCTAGGAGTGGCTTTCTTCGCTGGGTAATCAGAGCCAGAGATTGCTCCTCCCTTTAGCAGCCTTGACAATTGAAATTCAGTAAACATAAACCCTTAGAATGGCTCCAGGCTGGGCTCTGTGAGTTTCTCACAAATTAGCCCCCCGGAAAAGCTACTGATTGCTGAAAGGCCTCAACTCTACCCAGAACCTAGCCTCATCACAGCTTCTTCAAATTTGAGGAAAAAGCCATCTCCCTCTTTTGTGATACTCAAAGCAGATCTCCCTCCCATTGAACTAAACTGGAAGGAAGATCGCAAAATCCTGGGTAAAGCAGAGCATTTCTCTGCCTGTTCAAACAAACTGACTTAAGAAACCAACCAAGCCACAGAACCACAAGCAGACCAGAGACTCCAACAAGAGGCTGGTTACGGACACAAGGGATATGCAGGATTTTTCCCAACCCTCCCAGAAAAACGAAAGAACTATTTTTTCTCTTCTTCATTTTTTTTGTACCTTTTATAAAAAACTTTTTTTCTTTTCTAAAAATTTTTAATTTTTAAATTTTTTGAAAAAAATTGTTTTCTAGTAACTTTTTTTCCTCTTATAATTTTTATTATAGGAGTACATGTGTGTGTGCGTTTTTCTTTCTTTTTTTTCTTTGTTTTTTTTTTAAAAAAATTCTTTTTGTTTACCTCTACTGAACTTCTGATCTTTTTTTCTTTCTCTCTTACCCTTTTCACCTTTTCTTCTCTTTCATTCTTCTTTATGTGACTTAATTGTTGTTCTGCACATCCTCAGATAAACCCGTAGTTGACTATTAGATCCTATCCCCAATTGTGAACACACTTAATCCACAAATTTATTACTCAATTCAAAACCTCTGAGACTTAAATTCCTTAATAGCAGTACTACCTCTTTATACCTATATAATATTTTAAGTATTATAATTTCTAAGATTTTCTCATCTCATTTATATCCCTCTGTTTCTCTCATTATATTCACGTTCTTCTCTGGATAGTTTGTTTTCGATTCTGCATAATATTTTAAATTTTTCTTTTCTATTTTTTCTGGTCTCTTTTTTCCCTTTCTCTTTCTTCTTTTTTTCTCTTTCTCTACTTTCATACTACCCAACCTATTTCCTGCTTTGTGATTAGGACTTAGTTAGCTCTCCTTGTCTCTTCCCACATCTCTCTATTCCTATGTTTTACCCACATCTCTCCCTACCCCTAATAATTTCTGATTTTCCAAATTCTTCTTTGCGGTTCGTAGCCCATTAATATATAGTTGTTTGATGTTTAATAGATGTATCTGTTGAACTAGATTTTATCTGCAGACTATGGACTGTGCAAATGCAGACTTTGGTTGATGCTTGACTTAAGTTAGTGTTCTAGCAGAAAACTGGTGTTATTTTCATCCCAAATGGGCAGAGTAAGCTGGAAAAACACAAGAAAAATGGCAAGTCTGGGAATCTCAACTCCCACTCATGATACTCAGGGGACATAACGGATAATGAATAATCCAGAGGAGAATTCCCAAAAAGCTCTAATAAACACTGCAGGAAAACATGATAAATGAAAGATTGAAAACCGACAAAGGACTCTGTATGAGCGTGATAGGGAGAGAGAGGAGGCAAACAATAGGTCAAGGCAGGAAAAGATTGAAAACCTACAAGGGACTCTGCATGAGAGTGAGAGGGAGAGAGAGGAGGCAATCCAAAGGTTTATACAGGAATATCATGAGAGTGAGGAAGCTACTCAAAAACTGATACAGGATTTGCGTGAGCAGCTTGAGAATACTCAAAGAGAAAGGCAGGAATGGCTTGAACAGGCTGAGAACACTCAAAGAGAACTACAGGAATGGCATGAACAGAAGGAAGCTAAGCAAAAAGTAATACAGGAATTGAGAGAGCAGGATGAGACTACACAAAGATCACTAAAGGCATTCATGGGATCCATTAACAAAGAGCTGAAGGAGGTCACAGAGACCACAAAGGGAATGTTGAATGGAACCCAACAGAAGGAATGGGAGTCCAAGGAAACCATAACCAATCAACTAAGTGATTTGAGAATAAACACTGAACACCAAATTAAGGAAGTAAAGAAGTCCATTCAAGGTCTAAAACAAAGCTTCCACAAAGAATTTGAAGCTATCAAAACTGACCAATTAGAAGGAAAAGAAATAAAAACCAAAGTAGAAAGTCTTGACAGCAGGTTAGACCATGTAGAAGATCGAATCTTGGGAATTGAAGACAGCCTAGATATTATAGATAAAGTATATACAACTATCCAAGTCCAAGAAATATGATAGATCTATCCAACACTTGGAAGACACCATCAGAAGGCCTAATCTAAGGATAATGGGTGTACAGGAGCAACTAGAAACAGAAGTTAATGGCCTAGGAAATTTGTTTAAAAGGATCCTAGCAGAGAACTTCCCAAACATGTAAAAAGATAGTCCTATTCAGATACAAGAAGCTTTTAGAACTCCAAATAGACCAGACCAGAATAGGACATCCCACAGTCACATTATAATCCACACAGGATCAACTCAGACCAAGGAAAAGATCCTTAGGGTTAGGGTTAGGGTTAGGGTTAGGGTTAGGGTTAGGGTTAGGGTTAGGGTTAGGGTTAAAAACAATAATAATAAAAAAAAAATAAAAAAATAAAAAGATCCTTAAAGCTGTCAAGGAGAAAAGATCAATCACCTATAAATGGAAACCAATTAGAATCTCCTCAGATTTCTCAGCAGATTCAATCAAAGCAAGAAGAGCCTGGAATGATGTATGCCATGCCCTAAAAACAAACAACTATCAACCAAGAATACTGTACCATCTAAACTCTCCTTCATAACTAAAAGCCAAATAAAAACCTTCCATAGCAAAGAAATATTGAAACAATACATCTCCACCAAACCAGCCCTACAAAAGATTCTTAAAGATGTCCTACACAAAGAAAACCAACAAGACCAGAATAGAGGCCAAGAAACTGCACCCAAACTGAGAATCCAAGAACCATAGGAAGAACACAGTTGCCACAGCCCCCAAAAATGTGGATAAAATGGCAGGAACTCCCAAATACCTCTCTCTCCTATTTCTGAACATTAACGGACTTAACTCTCCAATTAAGCTACATAGACTGTCTAGCTGGATTAAAGAACACGATCATACCTTCTGCTGCCTTCAGGAATTTAGCCCATAAAAACAAACACATTTTCAATGTGAAAGATTAGAACAAAATCTACCTAGCAAATGGCCTCCATATACAAGCTGGAGTTGCAATCCTAATATTAGATAAAGTAGACTTCAAATTAAAATTAGTTAGAAGAGATAAAGAAGGTCGCTACATACTTATTAACAGATCTCTCCTTCAGGAGGATATTGCAAGTCTAAATATCTATTCACCAAACAACGGAGCTCCCAAATTTATCCAAGAAACACTACTTTCCCTCAAATTCCACATAGATCCAAAGACATTAATTGTTGGGGATTTTAACACACAACTCTCCCCACTAGATAGATCAACTCGGCAAAAACTCAACAGAGAAACTACAGATCTAAACAGCTGCATAGATCAACTAGATTTAACAGACATCTACCGAACATTTCACCCAGCAGCATCAGAATACACGATTTTCTCAGCAGCACATGGAACATTTTCTAAGATAGACCACATTTTAGGCCACAAAGCAAACTTGTCCAAATTCAGAAACATTGAAGTTATTTCTTGCATTCTTTCAGACCACAAGGGAATAAAATTAGAACTCAACACCAAAAGCCACCAAAGAAAGTCTGGTAACACAGGGAAGTTGAACAACACTCTGCTGAATCATGAGTGGGTCATGGAAGAGATTAGAAAGGAAATTCAAATATTCATGCTATTCAACAAAAATGAGCACACAAATTACCAGCAACTCTAGGACACAGCAAAGGCAGTGAGCAGAGGCAAGTTTATAGCTCTTGGTTCCTACATCAACATATTGAAGAGATCTGAAACCAACAATTTAATGAGACATCTGAACCTCCTTGAAAGAGAGCAGCAAATAAACCCCAATCCAGTAGACAGAAAAAAATAATTAAAATTAAATCAGAATTAAATGAATTAAAATCCAAAATCTCTATAGAAAGAATCAACAAAACAAAGAGTTGGTTCTTTGAAAAAATTAACAAAATTGACAGACCCTTAGCAAATCTTATCAGAAAAAGAAGAGAACACACCCAAATAAATAAACTCAGAGATGAGAATGGAAACATCACCACGGAAACAACCATGATTCAGAATATTATAAGTGAATACTTCTCAAAACTTTATGCTAGTAAGTTTGAGAACTTGGCAGAAATGGACCTTTTCCTAGCAAATATTGACATGTCAAAACTAAACCAATATGAGTTAAACCATCTTAACAGGTCTATATCAAGCATTGAAATAGAAACAGCAATAAGGGACCTCTCAGCTAAGAAAAGTCAAGGACCAGACGGTTTTAAAGCAGACAAAGTTCACTACCAAACACATTCTATGAAGCCATCATAACACTCATAACTCTCATCCCCAAACCAGGAAGGGACTCATCAAAGAAAGAGAACTATAGACCCATGTTTTGATGAACATTGATACAAAACTTCTCAACAAAATTTTGGCCAATCCAAG